AGTGCCTACTGCTGTCTTTAAGATTGAGTTTCTTCTGCAGTCCTTTAAAGCTCCAGGGATGGACAGAGGTGGTCATGTTTACAATGATGCCAGTGATAAGGAAAGACTGGGAGGTGTGAGGGACTATAAATTTGCCCAGCCTTGCATATTGTATGCAGTAAAAATAGAGATTTCTGACATTAAAGAGATAGAGATGTCTCCTAAAGCCTTATAATCTTATATTTTAGTAATTGCAACATTCTTTTATTTTAGGTGATACAAGGTTTAATATGACATTTTATCATACAGGGTCTCTTTAAGGCTGTGAGAGGCAAGAGAATAATTTTAGGATTTTTTTACTTTTGACCTCAGAAATTTTCATAATTTACTTTTAATAATAATAATTATTATTATTGGAGGGTGTGTGTGTGTGTGTGTGTGTGTGTGTGTTACTCGGGATTGAACCCAGGGCCTTCGCACTAAGCTACATCCCCAGCTCTTTTTAAATCTTATATTTTATTTTGCACTAAGGTTTTGCTACATACCCCAGGCTGACCTTGAATTCACTGGGTTAGCCCAGGCTGGCATGGAATTCATGATCATCCTGCCTCAGCCTCTTGAATGCTGAGGTTGTAGATGAGTCACCACTATGCCTGGCTTTCCAGGACTGGCATGTTGCAGTTTTGCTGTTCATGTCATGCTCACCTCATTTCTTGTCCCACATGACTCTTACCAGTCATTTTCACAACTTCAAATTGTAAATTATCAGTGAGCATTTGTTTTTTTTTGTTTTGTTTTTTCCAGGATAGAGAAATATTTAATAAAATAAGGGTCAAGGGAAAGTCATTTGTACAACTCATCCCCCTTATTTGATGCTCGCCAGGCCAGGGGTACCTGGGTTGGAATCAGGCTGACCACTAGACAGCCACACTGTATCACAGGCACCTCAGGGAAATGCTGTGCAAGGCCAAGCCCTGCAGGTCAGGGGAGGCCCACAGTTGCAGGCCACGGCAGCTCTACAGGACAGGGAAGCCCCACAGACCAGTAAAGCCCCAGGGAAAGGAAGCTGTGGCTGTGCAGAATCCATCCAGCTGGCATGCACAACATAGGCCTCACTCCTGCAGGTGCTTGTGCTTCACTGTGGTATTCTCTGAGCAGAGGTGGACAAAGAGGGTGCCAGCAGCAGTGCGGGCCCGCAGCTCCTGTAGCTCATAGTCATGGGCCCATTCGATATTGCCCCACTTCTGGATCTGGTACTCCTCCTCCAAGCGTGACAGCAGCACAGCCTGCTCCACCGTCAGGCGCAGGTCAATCAGGCCCAAGGTTAACACCAAGGACTTGAGCTGGGCCACCACAAACTCAATCCCTTGCAGAGCCCACATATTGGCTGACAAGCACCTCCCGAGTCCTGGCAGGGATGCTAGGTCCCATTATGCTGGTGGAGGACTCAATCTCTACGCCGTATCTCTTCTAGGCCCATTCTATGATTGGATCCCACTCATTCTTTTGAAGTTCGACTAATGTCTCTGGCTCTTCTACCCTGTAGCAGATGGTGTCAGTGTCCAGAAACTTCACAGCTGCCCGAATCACCTGATCCTTGCTTCGCTGAGTTGGGTTGTCCAAGGATGTGTTGCACAATGTGGTCTTCACCCTGTGTGATACTGACATTCTGATAAAACCTCTTCCTTTCTGTCGGGGGTGCATAGGCCTGGGCCAGACACTGGGGGACCAGCCCCAGCCTGGTGGAGGAGGCGGCACGGTCAGCAGGGGGACAATTTAGGAGGCGGCGCCCGTGGTCCCGCAGCCTAAGGCAGCTCCTCCACATCTCGCTGGCGGACTGGGAGCCTAAGCATTTGTTTTATACTAGATAGTTAACAATTTCTCTTTGTAAGAAGTTCCTAAAATGAGTATAGATTGTAAGATGTAAGTTCTTAGAAAACTATGAAAAGTATAAAACTATTTAATCTTATCTTTTAGAAATTGTCTTTACATTTATTTCTAATTTTCTGTCTCTTTTCTTCTCAAACATTGAATATATTGTGTAACTTAAGGCTTAAGAGATTTGTCTCTTTGGGTGTGTCTGTTGTCTGTCTCAGCATGCTTGGTGTTAATGTCCAATTTCTGAATTTTTTTTTTTTTTAATGTATTTGGTACAGGTCTCAATGGGCAGCTTGGACTCATAATGATCCTTCTGTTTTCAGCCTTCCCAGTGCTGGGGTTACAGGTATACCCTACCATCCTTGGATGTGGTGGCTGGCTCAGTGTGGCTGGGCATGGAGCTGGCGCAGAATGTGGTGCCAGGGATTGACGCCCAGTCCCTGTGCTTGCTTAAGCAGGTGCTTAGTCCACAACTTCTGTATTTTGATCTTTGCATTGTTATGCATATTTGTAGAGTGTAGGCAAATTATAATTTCATGTTTAAAAATTACACAAACCAGCTAAGTGCAACTGTGGATCGTAAGCTGTGTTGCTATGAGAGAGCTCTAAGTACTGTTGTTTATTGACTTGCAAAAGTCGAGTTCCAGGTATGATATGGGAGTTAGCATTGAAAAAGTGTTAAAGTTCACGGGGCAAAAGTTATACCGTTCTATACTTTGTGGTTGCAGGCCACTGTGTCTTTCTCAGAAGACACATAATGTCTCCAGGTTGGAAAATGAGGAGCCTGGAATTGATGAACTTGGAAGGCCTGTCCATGCTAGGCTTATGTGAGCTTCAAAGATTTGAATGTTTCATGGTGGACCTTATTTGCTTTTTTGAGTCTGTTCCTAGAAACATAGAACTAAATTATATTGCGTTGTTATTGTTTTGAGACCATGCATTATAACGAATATGCCTCTTGGCATTTTATCTATTGCCTGGTTGAATAAAGGGTTGAAACTACTTGGGAGACTTTAATGAATGAGTTTACCTACCACGTTCTTCCTATTGTTGGTATCATGATAAACTGAACCAACGTCAAAAGAAATCCCATACTTGCAGTCAGTCATTGTAAATGTCAGCACTTTTTGTAGAAAGAACATTTTCCCCTCCTGAGTTCATGTTAGCAGTGGAGTGCAAGTCTCTTTTGGGAGTATGAGTAATGTAATGAGGACGTCAGTTGTGTGCTTGACTGTTTGCTGTGTTGTATAGCAAACATTTACTGTGGTCTTTTTTTTTTTTTTTTTTCTGTTTAAAATAACTTTTTAAGTGCCTGCAAGCAGGGGCCAGGGTTTCGATCCCCAGCGTGTGGTATCGGCCCCACCCCCTGCGGCGTGCTGAGACTGCCATTGAGACTGGGTGTGGCCGTGCATGCCTGTAATCCCAGCACTTGGGAGGCTGTAAACAAGAGAATCACTACCAGTCTGATCTACTAGTGAGACCCTGAACACCCTTTAGACCCTTCCCTAAAATACCGGGAAAAAAATAGCTTCTTAAATTTAATTTTTTATGTATTTAGTACAGTGTCTACAGGGTCTCACTACACAAATCAGACACGTAGTGATTCTCCTGTTTTCAGTCTCCCAAGAACTGGGATTATAGGCACGTGCCACCACGCCTGGACTCAGTCACTTTCTCAGCGTGCCCCAGCGGTGGGGCAGCACAGCTCTCCAAGATGGAACCCCTCCCAGTGCCTGCAATAGCTTTTGTAAAAGTAGATAAAGAAAACTTTTTTTTTTTTTCTTGGAATGTGTATGTATGACTGTTCACTAAAGAGTTGGCTAAGGGCCGGCGATATAACTCAGTGGACTGAGCGCTTGAAAAAAAAGTTGGCTAGCGTAAAAATTGGTGATGTGTTAAGGGAATTTTTTTTAGTGGTTGATTTTGTTTAAAATTTGAAAAATTCAGCTACCTTATGTTTAGATATAACAAATGCTGAATTTTGCATTAGAGTACCTCCTGTATTTTCTTTGGGTGTCCTTGGGAATTGGTTTTCTGGGTAGGTTTACATATTTCTACATTTCCAACATTGTAAAATTAATTTTTGACTATTGGCATTACCATTTAAATAGCTCAGATTAGGACATTTGTCTTCTCGTGTGATTCCTATGTGCTTTCTGTTAACTCATCCAGTCTCTTCTGTATTAAAAGGAGCCTGCCTCAAAAGCAGCATCTTGGAGGGAACATGTCTTATTCCTAAAGGGACATTTTGGAGTCTGTAGTTGTGCTGGCTGAAATAACATTCTAAGTCTACTGAACATGTAGTAATCGACACTCTGGAATGGTTCAGCAAATGTGCAGAGCAGGATCTGCTACTAGTAGGGGTTTTCCTGTATGTGTTCCTAGCAGGATGTGTTTCCTTTCATATGAACCATGGAAGCACATCTGCTGGCATCTTTAAACAAATAATAACTTAATAAACAGGAAAATGTCAAAACTGTCATTTTTTTGAGATTGATAGAAGTACACAAAGAAAATACAGTAACATTCAAGTGTTTTGAGGATGTTTTATTTGTTGCCATTACACTATAAACACTGTGATATCTATATTTTTTCTTCTGATCTTCCTGTGTGGCCTGTGACATGCAATTTCTCTGTGTGACTTGGCAGTACTATAAGAAGCATTTGACTGGTCATCAACTAAGTCTTTAACTCATAGACTAGACCTTAATTTTTAGTTGTATTTTATTATCTTAAAATTTATTAGTACATTTGTGGATTATATGTATATGTATATTTTTTTCTTGATCTGTTTGAATTCCCTTTCTCATCTCCTTCTTATCTTTCCCCATCACCAAATTCTTTTCTCATATTCACAAAGTCTTATCTCCCTGTTTTCCATCATCTGTCTTTTATTTTGCCTTTTAAATTATTTATACTTTTTCTCATATATGAGAAACCATATTGGTACTTAACCCCTACACCCCTTTTTTTCCCACAGGGTCTCACTTTGTAGTAGGCTGATCTCACTAGGTAGCTCAGGCTGCCATCAAGCTCATAAAGATCCTCCTGCCTCAGCCTCCTGAGTGCTGGGATTACAGGCAGGAACAACCACACCAGCTTTGTGATATTTTTTTTTTGTTGTTTTTTTGTTTTTTTTTTTGAGTATTTCCAATGGTTTTTATTATACACTCAATTCTAATAAATGCTGAATTTCATTCTAGTCTCTTTCTGGTCCATCCATCCATTCTCCATCCCGCACTGCAGGACTTTGCACTTAACTTCTCCAAGGCCACTTTTGGGGCAGTACAGAGCTGCCAAGGACCCACAGGACAGCAGTGCCCCACAGTCAATCTTCATCCGAGTCACTAGGGCCCATGTACTGGCAGACAGCATCATAGTGAAGTTCCACCAATTGATTTTCTCTCCGCAGCTGCACCAAAGCCCGGCTCTGGGCTCTGTCCCGGCCCAGCAGATGACCTACCCTTCCAGCCAATGGCCCCAGAACTACCATCACACGATTGCCCTCGACCTTGGGAACCAGGGTCTCCAGCATGTTTTCCTTTAGGCCTTCCAGGACACGACCTTCATCTGTCCGGCATACACATGTATCTGGGCTCAGGACATCTTCAATCGTCATCTTGGTGTTGTAATATTGGCCACCCTTATGCAGCTTGTCCACAAAGCGCACACGCAAGTCCCGGTGCAGCCAGTGCCGACTCCTGCTGGCTGCTTTTTCACTCTTGGCCACAGGCCCCTCCTGTCTGTTGGGAGAGTGTTTCCGCTTCCTCTCAGAGTCCTCCCACCGACCTCGGAGGTCATCACTCTGGAGGGCCTTCCGTGACAAGGATGCTCCACTGTGTTGCCCGGAGGAAGTTCTGCTTGTCTGGC